ATCGGTTGCAAAATAATATGAAAAATATTTTCAGCAAGTACCCGTTGAAAACTTTGTAAAAAACGTGTACGTACGCGCACACGACGAGCGAGCCGGAAACACATCTTTTTTTCCCGCTCCCGTGTAATTCAACGTGATAAAAGTAAGATATTACGAGGTTAATTACAGGTATAATTATAGGCAAAATGAGACGTAATTATATAAAAATGTACGCGCGCGTCGACTACTGACTCTGGCATGTGTGTGTGTACGTGAAAGTCAGATAAAACAAAGCCAGCCGCGCGCGCCATTACATATACATGATATGCGCGAATGTTTGCTCTACAAGCCATTTCTACGTGAATAGAATTTCATTTTGAAAAGTGTGTGGCAGCAGCAGTAGCAGTGGTAGTAGTGGCGCTAGTCGTCTCCTACGTATCGCGAATAAAGTGAAAAAGTCTACACTTTTTATATACGTGCGCATGCAGCACTCGCACACGTAGACTGCGCGAACCTCAACTATGACCATGTATTATGCTCATTAAATTATTTAAATGCGTACGTCAACGAGAGAAATAGAGAGAGAGAGAGGTGACTCGCGCGTCGAAAATAGAGAGAGAGAAAAAGAAAAACGAAGAAATTTCCTGAAAAGCTATATAATGAAAGTATTTACATAACATAAAGCGTTCGCGTAGTAGCGCGCCAGACTTGATTTATTTCCCCCTAGTTCCTCTCTCGCTCGCTCTCTTTCTGCTACTCTCTCTTTGCAGTTTATAATTTTATCCCCGAAAAAATCTCATTTCAAATTCGTGTAACCCCCCCGCCGACAAAATGTACGTATATATGTAACGCGACGATCGATAAGTCAAACATAAATTGAATTACGTATACGCACACACGCGTACAGTCGCGAGTACGTCTTAAGGGTGGTAAAAAAAAAAAGAAAAGACAGAGACAAAGCAACTCGCGCTTACACGTAAGAAAGCTCGCTAGCGGTAGCAGTCGAGCTGCCACATAAGAAAGAGAGCAAAGGAGCTTGCGAGCGTTAACCGGCAGCTTTGGAACTTGCACACACTGCAGTGCAGCAGCAGACAATGCTCTCTCTCTCTTGCTCGCTCGCTCACTCTGACACTGGGCCAGTACGTGTGTGTGTGTGAGTGTAGGGAGAGACGTTAACGAGAACCCCGCCCTGTGACGTCACCCACCACTACTCTCGGCTCCCTTCCCTTCCCTCCCTCTCTCTCTCTCTCTACTCTCGCTTACTCACTCACGCTTGCGTTATTCGTTATGACTATATATCGTATAATGTTGCATCTGCGCGTGCTCGCACACGCTAGCTATATAGAGCTCGATGCACCACACACCGCTATATACCACCCGCGTTATATGTGTATATATCGCGCGCAAAACATGCTCTCTCTCTCGCTCGTACACATACACACACACGCGCTTATTTAAAGGGGAAGGAGAATAAGAGAGAGAGGAAGAAAAAAATAGAGCAGTAGGGCGAACGCGAATTAAGAGAAATTGATAAAAACGCATATCGAGTGTCAAAAAAAGTGGGAAGCGAGACGAAGAGTCGCGCATCAGCAGTAGCACAGCGTTACAGTAGAATACGTAAAATTTAATAGACTGCGAGGGCCGAATTTTTTTTTTTTTTTCATTTACACCCCCTTCTATATTTTACTCGGCCAAAAATTTGGTAACTGCACAAACGATCTCACGCAGCAGCAGCAGCAGTAGCGCCAGGAAACGTGTATATATCTTCTTTCACGTTTTCTTTTTTCTATTTCTCTTACACCGCCCGCGCGCGCGCGTACAAATTTATACGTCAAGGTTTCGATTTTATTGGCGAACGTATAAATTCAATATTTATACCTGTCAATCGATATCCGCGCTCACATACATTTTCTTCCCTCCTCGGGCTCGCGTAAGATAAGACTCTCTCTCTCTCTTGCTCTCGAGAAGCTAATGCTTTTGGCAATAGCTCCGCGCGGCAACTGCTCGCGAAAATGCGCAAATCGAGAGAGAAAAGAGTACAGTAGAGCTCGGTTCGATGTTTCTATATGTATATAAGACGAGAGCACACGTTAGCAGCAGCAGCAGTACGAATGAAGAAAACAGAAATGACGTCATCGATGCCTCTCTCTCTCTCTCTGCTGCTGCTTATATGTGTACGTGTGAGTGAGCTGAAACACGCGTAGAATGAGGCCGCTTGGAGAGCAGCAGCAGCAGCAGCAGAAAGTAGTCGAAAGTTTAAAAAGGGATCGCTGAAAGGAAAGTACTAACTTGCAATTTTCTAACGTATGTTTTACACTTGCCGATGTTTTGCAAGTTCATTCTTCTTCTCTTTGCCTACTTCTTCGTCTAACTTCGTTCTCGCTCTTTCTTTTTATTTTTCTCTACTCTCTACTCTTTTACTTTTCGCTCGCGAGTGAATTTGACTTGGCGCGCAAAGGATGAGAAAATAAAGGGGGTGGATATATGCGGGTCTATCTATCCAGGGGGTATATATGTAGAAATAGACCGATCGACTAACGAAACCACTTTCGTCGTCGTCGGCGCTGGTGGTTGAATTTAATTTTCACTTTTCGTGCCGCCACTGCGTTATAGTACTATCGACAACGACTCGTGTGTGCGCGCGATATCGCATCAGATTTGATCGCGCCTCTTTATTTCCCCATCCGATATGCCATTTTCTTGTCTCAATTTTTTTTTCTTCGCTTCTTCCTCTTCTCCTCGCGTTCTCTCGTCTTCTTCTTTATTCGCCTTCTTTCCATTTTCATTCTTCGCGCGTATGTATAAAGCGGGGCGCGCACGCAAGCCATTCTCGCGAGCGAGCGATCGACGATCTATATACATATAAACTATCTATACATCTATAATATTACGCGTCGCACGTGACGTCTGCAGAGAGCAAAGTATTACGATCGCTCGCGCGCAGTGCAGTGCATTACACGTATACTAGCTGCTCGTGTGTGTCGGTGTGATATAATCCCGATGAAATATTTTTTCAACGTATATGTAAAAATGTCGGATATCGATGCCGCTCACTCGCGCGAGCGCGTCAAAAGCGTTGAAAATTTTAATACGTCACAACGGGGTGGCGCGCACATTTTGAGATATATGCACGCGTACCTATACTACGAGCCCTTTAAGATTGTATACGTATATAAATGGATATACGATGGGATAAATTGGCAAGTTTACGGCAAACGTTTTCGTGAGCTCCAATCGTGCGCTTATACTACATATATACACACCGATACAAACTACCTTCTCTGCTGTATATATAAATATGATTTTATACGCGTGTATATGTATATGCGCACACTTCTCGGCCTTTGAAACTTGGCGCGCGCGGGGGTGCATACAACGTGTGGCAGGAGCTATATAGCTAGCTAGCGCGAGAAACTAAACTTCTTGCCCCCGCCGACACAGTTATAAATTATGCATCGAGAGAGAGAGAGAGAGAGAGAGAGAGAAAAGCGAAGGTGTGGGGGGATGGGTGCGGAGCGAGTCACGCTGTTCTGAGAGAGAGATCACAACTCGATATTGTACAGTTATATCTGCATTGGACTCGAAATCTAAGTAACACTGCTGTAGTTTCGAGAAGTATATAGCAGCGGTGGCGGTAGTAGCGATGCTGTGGCAAGCAACAGCAGCTACGAGGCAGCAAACACTTTATTCAGCAAAACAATAACTTTCCATACAGCCACTCGGTAAATCAAATCCTCCTCCTGCTGCTGCACAGGATATCGAGTGCAGTCGTCGTCGAAGGCTTTTTCGCGCTTTGCACGAGACGATGTCCCTGCCTACACCGCCGAGACACGTGTATTACTTTATGTATTTTTACGTAAATAACTTTTTTATTTTTTCAGTCGCCTTTTTTTCAAACTTTTGTAGGAATACTACGTGAAAAGAGTCACGCTCAAGTGAACTTCTCGAGGTATCGTGTAAAGATGGTAAACTCAATGAAGGAGGTTTGGATTCACAAATTTGTGTGCGTTTATTCATTTATTAATTTATTCTAATTAAGTTTTACACAAAAATAATACATTATAAAGCGATAGAGTTTCTAAACCGAAGAGCTTGTAATGTGCCCTAAAATTTTTTTATAAAAAAATAGTAAACTATTTAAAATAAAAGTAACTTATTGAAGTTTATCGATTCATTTATGAATAAATAGTGACTGCATTTCATGATAAACTGGCTTTTTATTAACGGAGTGCTTAACATCAATAATAATTGCCTCATAATCAAAACATGAAAATTTTAAATATTCAAAAATACATTACAATTGATTAACTTGTTTTTAACAATCTTTTCGATACAATTATGTTTAAAATAGTAAATGACCTAAATATAAAAATCACTTAGGATAGGACAATACCACTTTGAGTCTCTACCACAAGATGGCAGGTATACCCTTATTCGTAAATCTACAAGTAGTAAAGTCAAAATGATTGTTTATAAGAGATTTCACTGATTCCTTTCGCATGTAATTGGGTATCTCTTATTACCTTCAAAAATTTAAGAAAAAATAACAAACTTCCTAAAAGTATCTTATTATATTTTCTATCACTTTAAACTCTCAGGAGGTCCATTATTTCATTGTCATAATTCGGGAGACTATCCTCGTAGAAGCTCACGAGCTAAACGTTTTTTTTTGCATACTTTTTATAGATATTCTTTGATATTTCTCGTGTCTTTAACATTTTTACATGGACCTTTCTAGTACGGATTTTTCACAGGGACGCAAAAAACTAAAACAATTGTTTTTCATTGTTTAAGGCCGATAAAATATAGAGAATTTCTACCAGAATGTTTGAATTCATGGAAAAATTATTATTGTTCATTAGTCAGTACAACAATACAATTTTTCAACTATGGCTCAGTATTGTTCGGTTCAGTTTTGATACCTTTGAGCTCTATTGTTATGACGGGTCAATATTATTGTAGTCAGTTGCTCGGATGTATCATATACCGTACGAGATTAGTCGTAAACGTAATTCTGAGTAAGTAAGATGAGTTCGTTTGATTTATTCCACTCTGCCCTCAGGTAATTTTCATTTTATAAGAATAAAAATTATAAAAATATCATGCAATATTACTCAAGTTTATCTTAATTATCTTAGAATTAAAGAAGAACCATCTGACGTGTCGCAAGATAATGAGGATGATGAATTATTCGATAAGACGCTCGATTCTAAGAATCTACAACACTTGAGGTTTCTGCGAGAAAATCAGGTAAGTGTTCACAATCATATCTGACTCTACGGTTTTTCAATTCAAGTATATTTTACTTTTATTTACATTTTCTCACAGATCCCTGTGCTTCATGAGTATGACGATAATTTCAAAGATGAACTTAACAAAGACATGAAAATTGTGTTTGAATGCGAATACGCAAAGCTCACTTGGAATTTAGCAGCAGTTAAGAAAATCGACGAAGATTCTCAAAACCTGTTCGTTATACTGTTTAGAGCGCCAACATCGGCTCTTACGTGCGACTGATCACGTTGGCTTTCGTCAATTGTGGTTTTGTTGTTCAGTTGTCGATCAGATCGCTAGCGTCGACTATGTTACACGACTCACTTCGACGTCGGAACTTTTGTGGATATTAAGAAAATAAAGTAGAAAACCAGGCGAAAAACTTCGTATTCAAATTTTATTATACCTTGCTTAAAAATCGATCCGGCGGCAAAAATTAGCCAAGAAGAAGAGGTACTCTCTTCAAAAATTTTCATTGGTAGCAGAGAGTGGTTACTTCCCTAGCCGAGTAATTTTGATCTTGGATTTAACCGTCGTTTCGCGCGCTCAAATTTTCATTGAACAAAATGGACCAAGTACTCGCAGATCAGCAGGTCCAGGGCGATCTCTTGAAGAGCTTCAGGCAGACTATGTTAAAAACCCCGAGGGATCGTAGGACAATCAGTTGGTTTAAGACACAGTTGGAGCAGCTCGAGACACAATGGGATGAATTTCAGAAGGGACACAGGAATATCTGTAAAGTTAAGGCGGAATTCGCGGAGGACCCGTACTTCAAGGAGGACGTGTACAGTGAGGTATACGTGCAATATTCTCTGGTGAAGACAGACATCATGGATGCCTTGAGCCCGGGACGCTCTCAGACGTCGCTGCAGACTGATGCGCAGTACCGGGACATCAGAATTGATGCACCGCGCTACAAGGCACCTCTCCCGACCATCGACCTGCCGCAGTTCTCCGGTGATCAGCTCGAGTGGGAAACATTTAAAGGAATGTTCTTCGTCTTGGTCCACGACGTGCCAAGCCTCCCACCAATATTAAAGCTTCAATATTTAATTCGCTCTCTTACTGGTGAAGCAGCGAACAGATTGAAGAATGTCCAGATCACGGCGGATAACTACGACGGTGCGTGGCAGGCCATCTTAGACAGGTACGATAACAAGAAGGTTTTGCTGGCGACACATATGTCACACGTCATATCGTGTCCCGCGATGCAGAAGAAATCTATAGAAGAGCTCCGTCGAGTGCTGGACGTCATACGTGAGTCCAAGCAGGCGTTGGACAATTTAAAGATTGACCCAGAGCACATGGGAGAGCTGTGGCTCATTCATCATACGGTGAATAAATTGAATCAGGCAACCAGACTCGATTGGGAGCGCCAAGTAGACGAGACCTACGGATTTCCAAAATACGCGCAGCTCGCCGAATTTCTGGAGCGATCTATTCGAGTTTCGGAGGCTGCATCAACAACATCATCAGGTAGTGGCAGTTATAATTCAAACGTAAACAATAAGTTCCCGAAAAGCGCGCCAAATCGTCATCATAAACAGATAGCTGTACACACTACCAGCGCTCAGGCAGCAGGCAAACCAGGAGCGCGCGCATGTGTGCTTTGCCGCGGAAGCCACGCCCTTTATTCTTGCCATAAGTTCGCGGCGCTGTCACAGCCGCAGAGATTCGAACTTTGCAAAAAGGAGAAGTTATGTTTGAACTGTCTGTCAGGCTCACATTACGCAGGAGATTGTCGCTCGGATGGACGATGTTTAGTGTGTCAAGGGCGGCATCATGCGAAGCTTCATGCCGACTCGCAAGCTCACAGAGGCTCGGCGAGCATCGAAGATGGAGGGAGCTCGGCTCGGCAGGACGCTGATGCTGGCGAGGATGGCTCGGCGACATGTTACTTCGCTCAGCAAAAGCTGAAGAGTCCAAAAGTATTGCTTGCTACTGCTCAAATAGTCCTGGCAGACGAATCTGGAAATCAAGTACAGGTGCGAGCTATGATAGATCCGGGATCCGAGCGATCGTTTGTGACCGAGCGCGTCTTGACAGCTCTATGTGTAAGCTCGTCAAAAGTGCACATAAATTTGCATGTAATGGGAGATCAGTGCTCGTCAACAGTCCGAAGGCAGACTCAATTGTTTATAAGATCAAGAATCGACGCGAACTTCAGCGTGAGAGCAAAACCATTGGTCATGCGAGAGCTGACGGGACTCTTGCCGACGGCGAGACTGCCCGAGGATCATTGGCCGCATTTGCGAGGAATCGTGTTCGCGGATCCTACGNGATCAGTGCTCGTCAACAGTCCGAAAGCAGACTCAATTATTTTTAAGATCAAGAATCGACGCGAACTTCAGCGTGAGAGCAAAACCATTGGTCATGCGAGAGCTGACGGGACTCTTGCCGACGGCGAGATTGCCCGAGGATCATTGGCCGCATTTGCGAGGAATCGTGTTCGCGGATCCTACGTATTACAAACCCGACAAAGTGGAATTCGTTATCGGTGCTGAGCTGATACCATTCATAATGCTCGAAGGACTGCGAAAAGGATCAATTGGAAGCCCACTTGGTCAACAGACAGTATTTGGTTGGATATTGACCGGAGAAATCACACCGAAGCCAGACGATTCACCAGCGGCAGTTTCCGCGTTTCATGTGAGTGCTCGAGAGGACTTGCACGGTCTGGTTGAGAAATTTTGGCAGCTGGAGGATCTGCAGCCCACGAAGCATTTAACAGCCGAAGAGCAATATTGTGAGGACTACTTCACGGAAACTACAACGAGAAATGCCGACGGAAGGTACGTCGTACGCTTGCCATTCGCGAAGAAGGTATCATTCGAGGGCTCGCGAGACGTCGCCGTGTCCTGCCTGCACCGAATGGAGAGACGATTAGAAAAGAGCCCGCGACTGTCAATGTTATACAAAAACTTCATGGATGAATACATCGATTTGAAACACATGGAACTCGTGCCGGACTCACAGCTGTCACGTGAGAGCTTTTATTTGCCACATCACGGAGTCTTCAGAGCAGGAAACCAGGACAAGATTCGTGTCGTGTTCAACGCTTCGCAGAGGGCGGCGAACCGAGTCTCTCTCAACGATTCGCTGTTGCCAGGGCCGAAATTACAAAAAGATATAACGGTAGTTATATCGCGCTGGAGACAGTTCAAGTACGTCTTTGTTACAGATATTGTAAAGATGTTTCGACAAATTTTGGTTCACCCAGACGACACCGACTGGCAGCGTATACTCTGGCGCTCGGACAACACGCAGGCAATCAGGGATTACAGAGCGCTTACCGTAACTTATGGGACGGCGCCTGCTCCGTTTTTGTCTCTGCGAGTGTTGCAACAGCTTGCGAATGACGGACGAGAGCGGTACCCTGAGGCCTCACGTTTGCTGGATCATCGAGTCTATGTTGATGACCTTTTTGGTGGAGCAGACGACGTCGTTGAGGCAACCAAGCGGAGAGATCAACTAATTGGATTGATGGATTCGGCATGTATGCAGCTTGGAAAATGGTCGGCAAATGATCAGGCTCTTCTGCTGGGATTGAATGCAGGGGATGATGCTGACGTCTCAGTTAAAATCGAAGATGTTGTTTCGACTCTCGGCCTTAAGTGGAGCCCAAAAACGGATGAGTTTTTATTCGTGCCGTCATTGCCGCTAATGGCTTCTATTGTAACGAAAAGAGGCATCTTGTCGGACGTTGCGAAGCTGTTCGATCCATTGGGATGGCTAGCACCAGTCATCGTCACAGCGAAGATTCTGTTGCAGGATCTATGGATCGAGAAAGTCGACTGGGATACTTCGCTTGAGGGAGAGCTTTTAAGTCGCTGGCGGAGTTTTCGCGCATCGCTGAGTGATGTTGAACAGATCAGAGTTCTAAGATGGTTCGGTAAGAGCGAACAAAGCACCTGGATTTTGCACGGCTTCTCAGACGCATCGAAGAGAGCTTATGCGGCCGCGGTCTACATGGTGATCCCGGGCTGCACTTCGCGACTGATTATGGCGAAGACTAAAATTGCACCTGCCAAGCTGGAAACATTGCCTCGACTCGAGCTTTGTGGAGCTGAACTACTGGTCAAGCTGACGAAGCAGATTTTGAGCAACGTCGAAACGCAGCCGGAGCAAGTGCATTTTTGGTGCGATTCAAAAGTTGTGCTCGATTGGTTGGACGGACATCCATCGCGTTGGCAAACTTTCGTGGCCAACAGAGTCAGTTTCATTAACTCGTCGTACCCGAACGCTGTATGGCATCATGTACGATCGGCTCATAATGCGGCAGACTGCGCCACACGAGGACTCACGCCTTCGCAGTTGGCTGGGTTCGCGCTTTGGTGGGCGGGGCCAAATTGGCTCACGGCACCGGCCGCGGATTGGCATTCATTTGATGGTTCCTCAGAGCCAGAAGAGGCGGAGGTTCACGCATTTTTGGTACAAGAGGAGGCGAAGAAAGAAGAAGATGAGGACATCGTGTACTCGAGACTACGACGGATATCGAGCTTTCCGAGAATTCTCAGAGTTTTGGGCTACTGCGGACGCTGGCTTGCGCGATTTCGATCGAGGACTGTGTCATTTTCAAACTGTATTGAGCTGACAGCTGATGAAATTGATTGGGCTAGAACCGCTTGCTGTAAATTGATACAGCAGCGATGGTACAGGAAAGAGCTTGAGCTTTTGAAGAAAAAGAAGCCGCTGATACAGAAAAGTGAGCTTTTCCGTTTGTCTCCGTTCCTGGACGATCGGAATTTGATTCGGCTTACTGGTCGACTGCATAATGCACCCATACCGTTCAGTGAGCGACATCCGATCATTTTACCAGGAAGCGATGAGATCGTGAGACGACTTGTTGAAGAGAACCACAGGGCTACGCTTCACGGAGGAGTTCAGCTGCTAATCTCGCATTTGCAGCAGAGCTTCTGGATCACAGGCGTGCGAAGACTTGTGTCTGGGGTGTGCCGTCGCTGCATGAGGTGCACACGCTTCAGGGCCAAGACTAGCCAACAGCAGATGGCTCCGTTGCCGGTCGACCGACTTACGCCGCAGCGAGCTTTCGCGTTCACAGGACTCGACTATGCAGGACCTTTCACAGTACGGTTCTCAAAGCGTCGCAAAGCTATCACAACCAAGGGCTACATTGCCATATTTGTGTGCATGACATACAAGGCTGTGCATATTGAAGCTGTATCAGACTTGACAACTGAGGCTTTTTTGGCGGCGTACTCACGTTTTGCTGCGCGACGAGGAGTTTGCAAAAAACTATTTTCCGACAATGGTACCACTTTCAAGGGAGCTTCATCGGAGATTGCTCGCATGTTCGCAGAGGCGTCGGAGTTTTATTCGTCAGTGGCATCGCATCTGGCAATGAAAGGCACCGAGTGGAAGTTTATTCCACCCAGAGCTCCTCATTTCGGCGGACTGTGGGAAGCTGCAGTCAAGAGCTTCAAATACCACTTCAAGAGAGTCGTCGGAGCATCCGTTCTCACATTCGAGGAACTTTCCACCTTGGCGGCAAAGATTGAAGCCTGTCTAAACTCGCGCCCTTTATGCAAGCCAAGCATCCACGCGAGCGACCTATTGGCTCTCACACCTGGGCACTTCCTGAACGGAGCCGAATGCCTGGCTCTGCCAGAGGTCGCTGAGGAGGCTCCCAGAGGCGGACTTTCAAGGGGATGGCGTCTGCTTTCTCAGCTGAGAAATTCTTTTTGGACAAGGTGGAGAAAGGAAGTGATTCAGCAACTAGCACAAAGAAACAAGTGGTTAGAGCCGCAGCCAAATTACAAGGTTGGTGACGTTGTCATCATCAAGGACGAGCTCTCTCCTCCAGCGAGGTGGCCACTGGGACTCGTTACGGCTGTACATCCAGGAAAGGACGGACTGGTGCGAGTTGTCACTCTTCGAATCGGAGGATCAACTCTGATGCGACCAATAGTCAAGCTTGTGAAACTTCCAATGGATGAAGACGGAGAAGAACCTCTCGAATAGTTTTTTTTTGTTTGCTAATTTTTTTTATTTGTTATATGTTAAATTATTGGTGTTTGCTTTTTTTTGTTATATTTTTGGATAAATTTGCTTCATTGTATTAAGCAAGGTGGGCGGTATGTTCGTTATACTGTTTAGAGCGCCAACATCGGCTCTTACGTGCGACTGATCACGTTGGCTTTCGTCAATTGTGGTTTTGTTGTTCAGTTGTCGATCAGATCGCTAGCGTCGACTATGTTACACGACTCACTTCGACGTCGGAACTTTTGTGGATATTAAGAAAATAAAGTAGAAAACCAGGCGAAAAACTTCGTATTCAAATTTTATTATACCTTGCTTAAAAATCGATCCGGCGGCAAAAATTAGCCAAGAAGAAGAGGTACTCTCTTCAAAAATTTTCAAAACCACTTGCAGGATCTGAAGCATAGCCACAATTATAACACCCAAAACACAATTAAAGTAGAAATTGAAGAGATCGTAAAAAAAGAATTAAATTTGAACGACGAACTCAGTAACCCATACGATACACGTGGAAAAAGTGTCGCACGGAAATGCCGTCTCACAACTCACACCGGCAAGGTGCACAACGGTGTCAAACCTACGTGCGATACATGCAGAAAGATATTCTCAAATAAGACCAATCTCAAAAAACACATTGATATGGTGCACAAAGGTATCAAATATCCATGCGATACGTGCGGGAAGAAATTCTCAACGAATGATGTTCTTAAGAAACACATCGATTCATTGCATAATGGTGTAACACACGAGTGTGCTGTTTGCGAAAAGTCATTTTCTTGGAAAGAAAATCTCAAAACCCACATGGATTCCGTGCATCAAAAAATCGCGCATCCATGTGATATATGCCAAAAGACATTCTCAGTCAAAAGTAATCTCAAGAATCACATCGATTCGGTGCATAATGGTGTCTGTCATGCATGCGACATTTGCGGAAAGAAATTCGTTCAAAAAGTTTATCTCAAAACTCACATGGATTCCGTGCATCATAAAATCGCGCATCCATGTGACAAATGCCGAAAGACATTCACATATAGGAGTAGTCTCAGAAAGCACATCGTTTCGGTGCATAATGGTGTTCGTCATGCATGCGACATTTGCGGAAAGAAATTCGTACAAAAAGTTCATCTCAAAACCCACATGGATTCCGTCCATCATAAAATCGCGCATCCATGTGACAAATGCCGAAAGACATTCCCATATAGGAGTAGTCTCAGAAAGCACATCGTTTCGGTGCACAATGGTGTTAAACATGCATGTGATATTTGCGGAAACATATTCGCAAATAAAAGTGGTCTCAGAGCGCATGTCAATGCGATTCACAATGGCATCACACATACTTCCGATATATGTGAGAAAAAATGTTCAAGAATTAGCAATCTTAAAGCCCATAAGAACGAGATGCATTATGGTATTAGTCACACATGTGTTTTCTGTGAAAAAAAGTATAAACATCTATCTAGCCTCAGTAAACATGTCAAATTGTTGCATGGTGAACACGCGCATAAATGCGATCGATGCGGAAAAAAATTTATCCAAGAGAACCGTTTGAAATTGCACATTGACTTGGTGCATCAATCACGCACTCGATAATTATGTAAAATTTATTTTTATTTGTATGTGAAACTGTTTGTTCCAATGATTAATTCTAGATATTCATGTAATCTATTACGATACCATTCAATCCTCCTGCTCTATGTCATCTCCTAATACGTGAAAATAAATTCAACGTCGCGGCGTTCAACGCGCCAAGAAACTGCGTTATCTTTTTTAATCTCGCCAAATGGAAAAACCGCGCGCGTGGCATTTATGAATCGTCCTCTCGCAGCAGCAGCAGCTCTTCAGCAGGAGGTTTTTCACACTCGGTTGCCAGGGCTGTTGCTGTGTAGATCCAAGATTCTCTCTACACACACATTACAACACAAACGCACATTCATATATATACACAACAACAAAACTCTCGACGCAGTATATATACACACCGAACAACAACTGCACGTGGCAGTGCTGCAACACTCAAAGTAATTTGCTCCCGCGCGCGTATACATGCTTTCGCAAAATTGCAGTCATTTGGCCGGGCGCGCGCGCGCGGCAAAAGGTGATTTCTCCTTTAACAAGAGCCTTATTATTCGAGTTCTTTATTTTCACAAAGCACGAAGTGCTGCTACAAGCGATGCATGGCTTTTGCCTCGCGGCGTCGGTGGTAGTGGTGGTGGTGGCGGCGAGCTGCTACCGCAATTAAGCGAGCATTATTGAGATTAACTTTTCATCACATGCGCGCGCGGGCGTGTGCGGCCGGGTTCGCTCAATTTTGCATGCATTGAATTTTTATATCGCTGCTGCTGTCGCTACTTGCTGGATGGGTGGGTAAAACTTTTAACCCGCATTAAGTGCGCGAGCGAGCGATGTGTGTGTATTAAAAGCGTCGGGTGTATAACGAGCTTCATCGCGAGCGACAATATAGCTTTTCCGACCCCCCCCCCCCCCTCGTCCACTCGTCATTACCGTAATGAATATTTTTGGCAAGCGTCTATTTTTCTCTCCAGGATTTTTGGCATCGTGCTCGCGCCGAGCCGTGTACTGCATGCGGCACGTTCACACAATTGAATATCTGCTTTTTGTACTACGAGTGAGGCCATAATAAAATAATAATATTTTCACATCAAAACGAAGTCGCTGAATCATATTGCAAAATTAAAAACCATACTTAATTGCTATTACTCATACCTATATCGTAGGAGCATTAAAAACCGCGTCGATCAGATCGCGGCAGAGACGAGGGGGTGGGTATAGGCTATAATGTAACGATCGACCGCGCAAAAGCAATCATTTCTGCGTCGCGGATTATTATTAGGGCGATGCAGCCGAATTGAATTTTCAATGGAAAACGAATATAGGCCGGAAGCGATTGTGCAGCATCGTTGTTAATTATCCCCCCACGGCGAGCTTTGCGGCGCGCGTCCGATCGAGGCCTGCGTGCTATAACTGCATGCTGCACCGTGCACGAGCCTTTTATTATGCGAGCCCTTTTAGCGAATCGTCGCGCGCGCGACGTCGTGCTCGTTGCTGTTGTCGTTGTTATCGTTAATTTTCGAAATGAGCCACGCACGCTGTGCGCGGAGCGAAACGATCGTCGTGCGTGCTTTTTAACCTTCGCGTCGTTGCGTGTGTGTGTGTGTGTGCGCGCGCAGACTATTCAATTGTGCGCGATTCATACGAGTATATGTGAAGTTGTGGAGGGAGCGAGCGATGATGACGGAGAGACGATACGCGCGCGATGCGCAGGTAGTAATAATGTTCGACGTTCTGTTTCCGCAGAGGAATAATGCAGTTTTTGCGAGGATTTATTTCCTGTTTGAAGTGCAAAAAAATTAATAATTCCCTGATGACTATTAATTAACTGGTTATTTATGATTTTTCCGATACAATTCAGTTAAAAATATCAAACAAGTTTAAATTACCTGAAAATAAAAAACTTCGAGTCTCCACCACTAGATGGCGAGTACGTGTATTTGTAAATCTGCAAGTGGCAAATTGATAATAATTGTATAAGTCGAGCATAGTATCTAATTATTATTATTATTATTCGAAATCCTATTGCATTTGCTGGCCCTAACATTGAATATAATGAAAGTTCTGTATGATATATGTATATGATAAAAGTGAATGAAAAAAGAAGTTAAATCTTGATTGAAGTATCAAATTAAATTCTACTTAAGTACACTTAAATACAACCACACACTTGAATAATATTTATTTGATTTTAATTTTATAATCTGTTTTTGGTTATAAGCCACAATAAAGCGTCATCTTACGAATGCGTTCAGACAATGTATGTGTGACAGAGGTGCTGGAACAAAGCCCTTTAAAATTAAGGTCTGTTTTATACTGTCGTTTTAACGAAAAACGGTTCAACATTTTTAAATAAATTCTAAACAATAATAAATTTACTTAAGAATAAAGATAAATAAATAAATTTTATTGATATAATAAAATTAGTTAAATGAAAGTAATAAATACTTTTCATTGTTATTTAAAATCGTTATTTATTGAATTTAAGTAAATAATTTAAAAACTCACCGTCGAAAATTGAAATGAAATTATCTGGTCATTTGCTATAAATTATAAATTACATAAATCGAATATGTAATTAAATTTAAAATTAAAAAGAAATAAATGACGTTGTAAATTGAAATAAATTTTGCAATGATTTAAATATTTTTATCCTCAAAAATTTTTTGTTTTTTCTCGATAAAAATCAGAATAATATCAATAGATTTATTGTGCAGATAATAACGATGAATATTTTTGAATCAAAATAAAAAACCTTTTAAAGAAGTGTGAAACGAGTGAAATTGAGAATCGAGCATTCAGTATTATACTATTAAATAATTGTGAATATTGGTCATTCATTGTAAGGTCATTAAACTTTGGATATTTTTTACAAGTTCCCATAGTTTATATTTTCAAATTTCATGCATAAATGCGTTCCGATGAGGAATCTATTTAATTGAATAAGCCCACCCATTTAGATCAAGTAGAGTAGGGGATTTTAGATACCAACAGCGTCGCGTATAGAACGACATTGATCTGAAACCTGCAAAGTGGACGAGAAGGAAAGGCATGGTACACAGTAGGCGGGACAAAGATACGATTTTGAAAAATATATTGAACAATTTTTCAAGCCTACAAGACAATTCAATAATATTTTTCGGTTGTCTAATAAGGCTCAACTAACTTTTTTGTACCGTCCAAATATCCAAAAGAAAATAAGTTCCCGTTCGTTGTAATGTTTAACCCAGTCGTAATGTTCATCTGTTTAAGATTTGACGATAAAAGCAAGAGAGACCAGGACGATAGATTTGGAGTAATTCGTAAAATCTGGGAAATTTTTATTTCCAATTGCACGAATTGTTATCAAGCAAGTCGCGATTGTACCGTAGACGAAATATTTCTTGGCTTTCGTAGAAGATGCAAAATCATGC